CATTGAAAATTCAGTTGCTTCGAGTGTGCTCGTCCTCATCGTTGAAACCTGGACTCCTCATCCTCTATATTCGGCCGGATACCTCACGTCATCGTACACCCACCACGCCTTTGCCCCTCGTCACCCCCTCTTTTTCTTTTTTACATTCTAACCGACCGATATTAATTATTCGCGGTTCGACCGCGGTAAAACCACCCCAGAGACCGCGGATATTTTCGTACAAACTTGCTATTTAAGTTCTTCTTCCACGCGAATATTTATCGAAGGTCGTCCCGTCTAACATGCGAGACAGTTCGCTTTCCGAACAATTTTTGCGAACGACTACGGTCGCCTTAGCAACAAAGAAAATAATTCCAACTCCCTCGTTAACAAGCGAGTCATAAAAAAGATCAGCACGCTTCTATTTTCTTTAACAATTGTCATCGCGGCATATCGGTTTATCTTGATGCTCGAGATACGAATATTTATAGCAGCGATAAAATAAAATAAAACCTGTTTCTTTTTTCCAAGTCGCAGGCGATCAAGATACCAATTGTGTTTGTAATAAATTCTGTTTGTGATGACGAAAGAAAGAGTCGAACGTATAGGAGAAAGTGATAGAACTATGCATAAGGCGCTGGTAGAAGGAGGTGTTGAAATATTTCTCGCGGTACGAAGGGTCCCGTAAGCGTCTTACACAGACGCAGGTAATATTCAAATTGGACCGAGAAGAGCGCGTAACACGAGTCGATTACAAACAGTCCAGGTATGAAGAACCTGAACCGTGACTGATTAAGAAGCGCACCGGTGCCAAGAAGGACGATGGAAAAAAGACACGTCGGGTAAGATTGAAAGTAGCGTCGTAAATCGAGCATTGACCCTTTTTGGAATTCTTCCGCTCGCCGGGAAAAGTGGACGGACGAGCGTGAAGCGTACGGCCGCGCTGCTTCGGAATGTAAAAATGTGTAGAAGCACGTACGTGTGTATACGCAAGTAATATGTACGTGTAACGTTAAGGTACGATACCGTGATACATTCGGAGTTTCCCAACTCCGTTTGACCCGAGCTACGTTTGTGGCACGCCAACAGGATACGTCCTTACGAATCTTAAGCGTTTCATGTTCATTTTATACCGTACGGCACTTGGAAAGTTTTATGTAAAAGTCCGTTTCGTTGAACTGTTAAAAATAAGGCCGAGAGATGCGGCATAGTCGAGTTTTCGCTTGCTGCTAATAAAATTCTACCCGGCCGTTACGCAATCCCAATTAACGAGGACGATTGTTAGGAACTGAAAGGGACTAGGTGAGACCATTTCCCGAGATCAAAAGAGCAAGACACGGTGAACCAAAGAACGAACAATGGACGCGACCGGATTGCTATGTGCTGTCTTGGCCGTTGCTTATGTTATGCAAAGAGTTCTACTAGGTACGAAGACCGACAGGTGCGTTCGGACAATGGTGTTACGACCCCCATCCGCCCACATGCTAGTATTTTTACCGAATGAGGAAAATTTTCTGTAAACTTACGTTATATAGCTGTCTTCAATTCGTCCGCGTCGACGTGGCGCACAGTGGTTCAGCAGTGGAAAAAAGGTCATTTTTTTGAATAGTTACTTTTTAGAATTCTTCATTATACTTTCATAGTAGAATGTCTGAAGATCCAAAATGTATAAATTTTTCATTATAAATATCGATTGATTGTTGGAATGTTATGTATAGCTCAATATTTTTTATATGTATGTACATATACACATTTTTTAATACACTATTTGATTTCGGTGAAATGATTAATTATTATACTACTATTACTTTGTTGTGTCTTTTATTACAATACTGTATTGTAATGTTAAAAATCGAATATCTCGGAATAACAATTTCCCGATATACATAATTGATAATATATTATAGAGTATCCGTAAGGACAGAGCCGAAAAAGAAGATTATCGTTACGTTATCAAATTTTTTCCAGTTTCGAACCACTGTGCGGCGCACGGTATCAGGAAACGCTCCACTTTCCTCTGAAAATAGATACATGAATTGTGTTAAAAGTACCGCGAATTTTATGTTCCCATCTGATTTATGATTAGATATAATTAGAACACAGGAAATAAAAATGCTCTCCTCTTCTCGACACTAGAGTATTTCAAGTGAAATTACTAAATAAGGCTGTCATTCTCTATTACATCATGTATACATACACATACATACATTTCTTTTCATATACGTACGTACTTGTTGAAATTGATAATAGTTTGGATCCAATAACTTCTATGCGTTGATAAGTTTTATAAATGAACCGAAGTGCACAAAAGGAGCTACCGACTGGATTAAAAGTAGAGAACAAAATGCGAAAGTAGGAGGGCGGCGTAGGATCAGAAAGGGGAAGAGGAATACGAAAGGAAAAAGGGTACGGTCAGAGGAGGCGTACGCGAATGGAGTGGCGGCGGGTAGGTCGCAATCCTGGTTTACTTGGCAAGAGAGGGCTCGCGGTGCTAGAACATTTCGTATCCGTGCGGTTCGTGGCTAGGCAAAAGGGGGCTAGAGGAGAACAGGGTCGTCGACCCTTGCACGTGGAGTGCTCAGAAGTAGGCCACGCCGTGACATCACGCAAAAGCAAGATGGCAGCCGGGAAACGGGCACATTCTCACAAGTATGCTCGGCAGTACGGCTCACGGAGACGTGCCGACGCCCGTGCAATCGAATCTTTTTCCTTGAACGTACGCGAGGGTGCGTTCCGATATATTCAGCGCGGCCTCTCGTCACGACCTCGTCCTTCTCCTCTGCCTCTTTATCGGCTTTTCCCTCCTGCCTTTACGCTTCTTGCGCTCCGCGGTCGAGCCTCGACAAAGACGATGCGACGCGTGCCAATATTCGCGGTGAATATCGGTATGTGCAGCTTCGAACCAGCTGCCAAAGGGAATTGCATCAGCGTTTCCCAACTCGTGTGCAGCGAATGCGCGCGTTTTTGCTCGCTGGAAATTTCCGGCAAGTCTACTTTCTTTGTTAATACGAATTTGATTAGCCCATATGTACATAATAATATCTTTATAGCGTCATTAAGAATTATTAACTTCCAACGCGTGCAGCGTGCATGCACGCTGGGAATAACAAATAGCTCTGGCAGGAGAATAATTTGGATTTCCGGGATGAAAAAAATATCGAGCTCGATTACGCAGCTCGCGTCGCCGCGGCGGTCAAATAATCAGCATCCAGCGTCGCCGTCGCGCGGCGCAGTCGACGAGTAATTGCCACGCGATTACGCGTTATACAATCGCGGGTAAACAAAAGCGTTATTACTGGCGAATAATCGCGAGCGTGATTGTCCGGTAATTACACGGATCGTACGACGTCGGAACGAAACGGGCCGTCATCCGTTTGACCGGTCGGGAGTGGGAAACGTTGCACTAGCCGCGCGTAATCGTCAACGTGTGCATCGCTCGCCGTTTTTCGCGTACATGCCTAGTTATGCATGTTTGCGTAGGCATATACCTGCATGCGTGAACGCGCGTGCACGGATGCAGACCGCGCGCATCGAGTTCTTTATTCGGAACGCGCGAGCACGTGAACGTGAGCAGGCATACGGTGCCGGTTGAATATTGGACGAAAGTCAAATCCATCTTACATTATTTTAGCGTCCGCGGACGGGCTGATGTATTACAGAAATAAGCGCTCGCATGCGTGCGTGGAAGCGCGGGTCCTGCCTGCATTCTGATTACGATGATGCAAGTCCATTCCGGGCTGCACGCGTGAAATCGTACGGTTCATAAACAGTACAACCTTCGCCGATCTTCTTTTTTTGAGAACACTCGTTCATGAATGTTGATTAAACAAATACAGAGTCGTACATGTGTGTGCACACATATCGCTATCGGTTGTATACGATGTGATAACATAATAGAGGATTATTGAATGCTACACGTGTTTGAAAATGCTCGTGTTACGTAAAAGATCTACTTTTACGTTTCGCGTATTAGCTACGTTACAGATAAATGTGAAAATTGAACTGGGGAACATTTTTCATGGGATGAAATACTGCACAAAGTGCAGTCTAGCTAGAGTCTGTACTTTACAACGTTGTGCGTGTGTATGTTAGTGCAACAGTGCACTTAAAAATGTAATTGTGGTGATGTAACGCACGTATCTTATCAGTATTGTATTGTTTGTCATAAAACAGTAAGCTTGTTTCAAATATCGAACTTCGTGCACAGAAGTCTCACTTGTAAAAAATCATTAAATTCTATAGCGTTGGGGGAACATAATTAAATTCTCTAAAATTAAGAAACTGCAAATGTAATGTACATCGTTAAAGGAATATTCTAATTCTTTCAAATGTACGATAATAATTAAGAGTAATTAAAAAGACAAGGATATGGTTATTACACAAGAATAGAAAAGAGGAGTGTTTCCCACGAATTTGGCTTAATCGTAACGTGTACTGTTTAATTCTAAATAAACGGATATGACGTCACGGCAGCCATACGATCGAATCTATTCCGACCCCTACTACCTTAATACACAATACAAAATGATCAAGCAGTTTTACCAATTTTACTTACTTTTTTGTAGAGACTGTTACGTGTAATCTTCAAAACGCTTGCACTATTAAAAGAAGAACAATATTTCGAGCGCATTTGATAAAGAAATAATAATTAAGCTTCGGAAATACGCATGCACACGTTTAGTTTTACACCGTTAGAGCCACACTAAAGCCCGTTTAACGTACACCTGGCGTCAGCTGGTGCCAGCTTTAGAAACTCTCTTGTAGCGAAGTATACGAAATGTTTATCACACTGAATAGATCATCAAATGCTTAAAAATAGTTAGAAGTTTTATTCGCTTATTTAATTTAATTGTATTTAATAATTTTATAGAAAAAACAGTAATTATTTCGTGTTCGATCCGGAAAAAGGAACTCATTTGGTTTTTAGATGGCGGTGATTCGCGCTTGCGTATAGAATAGACATTTTCCAGCTAAGTTTTACGGTGCTGCAAATGCTTCTCTAGCTGCATAAGTTGGTAGCGACGTCGCCGCCATTTTGTGGTATGCGAGACACGACGATGGTGTTTCTTTCAGTGTTTTTCGGGAACTGAGAATTAGTTTCATGTTATTTTCGTGCCCGAGAAAATGACGCAGTTTCTACCGCCGAACTTGTTAGCCCTTTTCGCACCGCGGGACCCAATACCATATTTACCCCCCGTTAGCAAGCTCCCGCACGAGAAGAAGAATGGAGGCTATATTGGAGTCGGAACTTTTCTTAAATACTTCGAGGTAACTGAACCTGGATATACATTTAATTAATTCACTTATGACAGGAATTTCTTTTGTTTACGTAGCACGAAATTTGGTATTTTAAGTATGATTCATTGATCTTCCGGTTAAATACATTATAACGCCTGCACGTTAGAGTAAAGTTTATCTTCTATAGGACCCTAAAGACACACCACCACCGGTACGTGTGGAAACAAGAGAAGAACGTCTTGAACGTAGAAGAAGAGAACGTGCAGAACAAGTTGCATATAAATTAGAACAGGAAATCGCAGTATGGGATCCTGCTGGTATACCGAATGTAACTGCGGATCCTTTCAAAACTCTTTTTGTAGCACGAATTGTGAGTATTTTTTTCTTAACAAATGTTGTTAATAATTTCTTACTGTATAATTATATTTGTGTTGTTTGTTTAGAATTATGATACATCTGAATCCAAACTTAGAAGGGAATTCGAAGTATATGGACCAGTAAAAAAGGTAAGCTCGATAGTAGAAAAAAGTGACAACATGAACGTCCTTTCTTGTTTGAAATTGTTTTAACAGTGTCTCTTGCTTGTTTCAGATAGTAGTAATTCACAATACAATAAATGGGAAACCTAGGGGATATGCTTTCATTGAGTATGAGCACGAAAGAGACATGCACTGTAAGTAAGAGCTAGGAAATGTAAAATCCCTTCTTGAGAAACCTCAGTGAGTCCATAGTCTGGAAATTCATCTTACTTAGCATCACTTCCAGCTAGAATATAGTGGGGCAGGGCTATAGTTAGGCTACCCATTTTCATTGGTACTAAACCAGACGGTACGGGGGGTCCCGCCATACATCCATACAGGATTACCATTCTGTAAATGCATATATGGTAAACGATCAACTGAAAAACGAATTATTGGCTGTCTTGATTAATGCAGTTTTTATCTTGTTCTTGGTACAGCGTGGTGGCCGCTGCCGGCAACTAGTGCCGTTCACTATTCCATGCAAAATCCCTGAACCTGCCTGATATGATAGGTTTGTATGTGTGGTAAGATCCAACATACAACAAGCGTTTGTTAGCATCTACGCTTACCCTACTTATCTTGTCTGATTTTGTTAAACGTTGCGTGGTTCAAGTGCCAAGACCCCTCCGGGGCTAGCCGAATAGTGACGGCCACACTCTTAAAACTGCTGGGAGTCAGGAGTCTTTTTATGTCGGATGCGTACTTTTTTTGGGCTGGAATTTCTTTTAATTTTTAATTGAACGCGTCTGGTATAAGTTAGCATTCTACATTGAAATTGATTGGTGGGCTTTTTAGGAGAAAGGTTCAGGGACACGCTCCGCAACCAGTTAGATCTCGCGCCTGTACGTAAAAGGTAGACTCTACGAGTATCATAATCAAGCTATCAATACACACGTTCAGGAAACATTTGAACTTCTTCGAACAAAATTTAACTGCATTTTCTCTCAGTACTACATTAACAATCGTGCATCATTGAGTAATCTGATACACTTTTTCATACCTTGGTTGTAGCACCTATTTTTTTTTTTATACTGGTTATACAGTTGCGTACTCGTAGGTGAAAAAACTTGACGCAAGTGAAAGTTACGCTAAGACGTGTACCAAGTAAACATCAGGTACCGTAGAATGGGCTCTGTGTCAAAAGATATTTTCTCGTTAGGTCTAGTACCAAAATGCATGTTCCAAACTAATCGATTATTCTTTCTGAAACATCTCGTTGCTGTTTCCGTTTTTTACTAAAAGTTTTAAATTAGCTAGTCATCATCTTACTCAGAAGGTCATCGAATCATTCTTTATTCAATCAATTGTTTATATTTAAGTCCTTAAATATATCAATTTCGATATAGAATACTAATTTGCTCTGAGTAAGTAATCTTTCGTACTCTCATCTCAAATCGGTGAGTTCTTTGGAAAGCGGGCATCGAAAAGAAAGCAAAGATACATACGTCATTATAAAGAGAGAAAATTTTTCCATGAAAACCAAGTTCTCCTTGTTGAACGAGAATCAAAAACAAATTCGTTTTAACGTTACGTTAAATCTAATATACAACTAGAACACAACGTAAAGTATAAAATACACGGTACTTGCGCACGGTTTGGTCGTAAGTAAAGAAAAAAAAGCGCACCAGGTAAATGCAAAATAAACTTCTTCGGAGATTGAACATATGAAGACTGGGCACCTTCCCAATGAATATCAATACGCGCTGGCCTACTCTATGCTCGCGAGTCTCTTACAAGTTCATTTCACGATTAAACGTACTTCTAAGATTTGTGTTAACTTCCGTACGTAAGTAGCCGCGGTAGGTATTTTTGTATCTGCTATACTTTTTGAACTTTACAAACGTAGATTTAAGGTACTGAAAAATCTGTACATTTTATTACTGATTCATGCCCCGCGAATATAACGTATCTCCGTAATTTTATACGGTAAAATAATCATTACGGTGCAACATCGGATCTTCGTTTAGAAACATTGTTAGTTGATGTAATCGCAGTTCATTCGTCGCTTTGTATGCTTCATACATAAAGACGTACATCCATAGACTCTCATCAAGTACATATATACTTGTTGATCTTAAGAAGTTTGTCTCGTGACGATACGTACTGTACTATTTTGCTTTATAAAATAACGTACGTTATAATCGGTACGTGCATAATCAGGAATAATATGTGCCGATACCTTACGACCTCGATCACCTCTGGAAAATCTTAATGATTATTAGTTCCTATACTTTCATCGAGACAACGGCAAGAAACACAAATAATGTTGAAAGAAAAAAAAGGATCACACGTAGGTGACACAAATCATTCGATGCTCGATTAATTGTCTCTTTTCTGTTTTCGGTCACAAATTTTCGGATCGTTCTTGTCTATATATCTTTCATTCGTATGTGGTTTACCGAAATTTTACGTTCGGACTCGTGGAAAAAAATTTACATGACCGATCGTCTGTTCTCTTTCTAAAAGTGGTGTTTTCGTCGTCGCGAAACTCGCACTATCAAAGATCGTAGTCTTTTCAGAAAAAGAAACAATATTTTCTGCCACCTCAGATTTATTTCCTTGGGACATAGAAGTCCTATAGTCTACCAAATAGTGAGCGTAAAAACGCGAGCAAAGTGGTAATTTTCAATCGGTACTTTTAGCTGCTTATAAGCATGCGGATGGTAAGAAAATAGATGGTCGCAGAGTGTTGGTCGACGTGGAACGTGCTAGGACCGTGAAAGGATGGCTTCCGCGAAGGCTCGGTGGCGGACTGGGAGGTACGCGAAGAGGAGGGCCCGATGTGAACATTAAGCATTCTGGTCGGGAAGATAATGAGAGAGAACGAGAACGGTATCGTTTGGAACGGGAGAGGGAGAATTCTGGACGCCTTGATAGAGACCGGTAATTGAACTATTTCTATTCTTGCCGACTTTACAATTGTAATTTCTAACTGTTTATGCTCTTGCAGAGATCGCGATCGATTGGATAGAGAGCGTAGAAGGTCGCGTGATCGTAAAAGAAGAACTAGAAGCAGATCGCGCGATCGAAAACGTAGACGCAGTCGCGATCGTTTGCCTGATCCGGACATTGAAGAGATACAAAGGGATGAACGACCCCGCGATAGGAGGGATCGTGATCGTGATCGCGATCGTGACCGGGATCGTAAGAGGAGACGTTCCAGGAGTAACGATCGCGATCGTGACCGTGATCGCAAGAGGGACAAGCGCGATCGCGATCGCGAACGAAGAGACAGAAAAGATCGGGGTGATCGCCAAGACGAGGATACAAAAGAAATACGAATTAAAGAAGAGCCTTTGGACGGTACGTTTCTTATAATTTACTCTATTATATCGATATATATTTATATTTTGATACGTTTATATATATCTGATATAATATATTTACACTCGTTTGATTAATGTTTCTTATAAAAATTTTTTAGATTACCCCGATTACAGTAACACTTTTTCAACATCTGGATCATACTTCACTGCCGTCAAATATGAAGACGATAATGACCAAGAGGTGGAAGAGAAGTACAGGATTCCAGAAGGTCGTCCAGATCCCCCTCCCTACAATAATTACGACTCCGTGCAGGACTACTGATCTCAATAATATTTCTCGCCTTATAATACATTTTTTCGTTACCACATACGGTGAATTAACGCACTTGTCAATAATGTATTGTATTTCCCATTGTTGTTAGTGTAATACCGAACCGACCGTATTGAGTATCTAGTTACTCTACAGCGACCGGATACTCAGTAAGGATATTGCAAGGTAAGCTGATCTGGACTACTGGTTTGTACGCAGTTATTTCTATCGGGTTCATTAGAAATTTTATATATTTACGGTTAAACGGTGCGAAAGTAATACTTCCGGTAAATAAATTTAGACGCATTGAATATATTAGCAGAAATGCAATCGCGAATTATAATCATTGTAGCAGTCCGTATGGAAGCCTCGCAATATGGAAATTGAGATCCTTGATCATTCAAATTCTATTGCGACTACTATAATTTCAATATTCTCTAATATGTGTACATAAGTGATTATATAAGACATGCTACATAAATTTAGTTCATTCATGACTGCAACATGTATATTTATATATACAAATAAATTACTACACTTAATTTGTTTGCTACCCTGCTCTTCTCTTCCCTTCTTAGAAAATACTATTCCTCAAATTCAAATTAAGTACCTGAACTTGAAATTTAGTTTCCAAACTACTTGGATCTCGAAACCTTTCATATTTATGTTAATGTATGTATATATACGTGTACCGAACGTTGCGGTATTGAGCGAGTTATTTTTTGTCATATTTACCGGTATAATTTGTCGGCTCATTGTGCATTAACTAGACCAAATCATTCCGGTCTCGTACCTATGGATACGATATCGATAACGAGATTAAAAATAGTGGTAACTTCTAAGAAAATCAATCGCAACGCTAAAGTTACTGTATCTTAAATTATAGTGGCTCTATAATTCATTAAACTGATGACTAGGTTATCTTTCTAAATGTCATGCTACTGGAATACAATCGAATTGTAAAGGGAATGTACTAGGTACTACGTGCATCAGATCGAGAGATTCGATAAGCGCTCCTTCCTTTTTATCTTACTAGTTATAGATAACTGGAAGTTTTTTATGAACCAAGAAACATGTATACGTTTCGATACGATGAATTCTACGAAAAATAATATTGAATTGATATTTTAATAAAAAGATATTATTACAAGAAGAAAGATCATTTGACTCATGCTGTGCACGATTCAAAGTGGCGCCAGTCAAGACGCAGTTCGCCAAGAGGCAAGTAATGAGTGCGTGTTACTTACGATTTTTCATGTTCTAACAAAAATACAGGTAAATTAATTAGATTCTATTACTATACGAACATGATTTTCAACATTTTTGCAAACAATGCTTGTCTAACTTCATTTAGAGATCGTAGTTAGATGGGATATGTAATTAATTTCATAAGACTTAACCCGCTTTACTTTTCTCGTCTTCGCTTAGGCATTAATGTCTCAAGAATAATTACATTATTCGAAAATCCTTATAAAATATACATACGTGTTACCTAAAAACGTGTGCTAGTTTCAATGCTAAGTCATTGTTAAGTTAGAAGTTGAAACCTTGATTCAGTGTCTGGAAATTTAACGAAAATCTACTTTACAGAAATGGGATCATTTCTATACATACGTTGAAAACGAAGGATGACGCGAGAGATGCTGGAAGAAAAAGAAAGAAGTACGATTCGACGAAATAACGATAGAGATTGGAAAATGATGAGAAAGGCGCGAAAGGAAGAAGCGGGATGCACGACTCGGCGAGATCGATTAAAGGCGGTTGGGTTGGATAGGTGTTCGGAAACAGTGAGCACCGGTGAGTAGAATCTCCTTATCCTATTTGGGCGCGATGTCGCAGCCCGATGCCGCCATTAAGCGCTCGTTCCCCGGAAATTACAATTCCCTTGCAATAACTTTGAATTGCTTCTGATTCAACTGTCGTTCGTCTGTCTGAAATTCAATCTGGCAAATTGTGCCTCGCTCGCGATACTATTTTGTGCGATCAGACCTACATACACCTCGCTTCTCTCGATATTTATTCAAGTATCAATATTTGTTGACAATATTTGTAAATCACAATTGTTGCCATACACCCGTTCTAAATCCGGCGTGAAATTTTTGGTAAATCAATACGCTTTCTAGTTATATCATCTTGTTTTCTTTAAAATGAACGTTGATGATCGTTAGTTTGATTAAATTAAGGGAATATTCCTTGCGGCTTGGTAAATTGAAAAACCGCAGCCGTAAGTAACTTAACAAGTGGCTTGCCTCGTTTCCCAACTCAGTACCTCTTATCCTCTGCCGTAGAGTGCTTAATTATTAGCGGTTCCGAGTTTGGATCAGTTTCCTGACGTCGGGGATAACATTCCTGCCGAATGCCACTTTTCCACCGATCCGCTGTCGTATTAATAATTCCGTCATAGACGTTTTCGCAAATGTTTGCTTAATTGAAACAAGAAAAGTTTCGAATTACATTTTCGAAGTGCAGAAAGAAATTTAAATTTTAATTCCGGTTCCTCGAAAAGCGGAGATGCAAATTTAAATTTAGAATTTCACGTCCGGTTACTGCAACTACGTTCGCGAGTAACTAGGAAAGTTGGGAAATCAAATTTGTCGTATGCATTCGTGTACATTATTTGCTCGACTGAAGGCGTTACAAAATGTTTTTGACGTAATCATGTCGAGCGGAAAGTTCGTGATTCTTTGACGGTGGCCGGTTGGTCCTTTGCAATCCATTAAATTCCATTAATTTTTCCGTCCCTTTGAGACCGGGAAGCAAAAGCACTGCCTTAGGTGCATCGTATTCGGTCCTCGTATTCGTGGCCTCTGATCCAACATACCGAACCTCTGTCTCCTGCGGAAATTCCATTTCATGCAAGTTTAACGTCGGTTCGATCTTGGAGAATCGCGGCTTTTCCCTTGTATCGAGCTGCCCGGACGAAAGTCGTCTTCCGATTAATCTCTCTAAACGGGATTACTTAGCGAAGATAAAGTATCCTCTCGTGAGAGATACTTCCTTTGTGAATCTTTCTTTCCTCGATTTCGTTTCCGACACTGCATAAAGTTATGACGTTCACGATGCTGTTCGACGGAAGGAGTTTTCTTTTATGAAAGCGTTGGCTTTGGAAATTCAAGACCTCTGCATTAGAACGAAGGGAGGAGAACTTTCTTCCCTTCTTCCGTCTGCAAAGTACCAGGAGATTACTAACGGATAAACGCAGTGAGTTTCGCACACGAATGACCGAGAGTATCGGTGCTCCAGTCGCATCTTTGTCTGCGGGAAGATTAATTATCCACATTTACGATCGATTTACGAGCGCTCGAGTATTGTTACGGGCGAGACGAGAATCGAAGTAGAAACGCGATAAAAACTGCGATCGGCGGATGGGAAAACAATGTTACAAGCGCAAGGAAATGCAGCGAGAAAGTTGTGCCCTGTCCATTGAAAGTGCCTCTGTTTTAGAAGTAATTAAAAGCAATCTAGCAATCTAGCAATTGCTTTCATCTGTTCGCGAATGGTGTGACGAACGAACACGTACCCGAGATGTTCTCTGCCGGAATGATCGTTCTAAAAGGTGTAGGTAGCGTGACGGTGAGGTTCCCGTTGAAAAGAACGAGAAGATGAAATTAACGAAGAGGTAAGGAACACTTATACGGAGGTAACGCGCCGTGAGCATCGCGCAGAGAAGGGGATGGGACCGGCGGTAGCGGGGAATAACAATGACCAGCGCGGGAGGAAAGGAAAGGCGGAAAATAGCGGAAGGAGGCGGCGAAGAAAATGGGTGCACGCGACGGGGAACAGGTAAAGAGAAATTCCAATGAGAGAGGTCTCGGGGTGTCAGAGCTAGGCATGGTATGGTGGTCAGGTTTTCGGCGGTGGAGAGGGAAGAGAGCGCGGCACGGCGCGGCACGGCGCAGGTGTGCGCCGGTAGCTCGGCATGGTATGCCGCACGCCTTAGATGCGCGTGTGCACCGAAAGAATGACATTGTGTGGGTGCGCCTGTGCGGCACACAGGTACACGAAACCCTCCACAGTCTGATCGGCAGAGGGAACGTCGCTAACACTGAAAGAGGGAAAGAGTTGGAACTGAGTATCGCGGGTTGAGAGAAGGAGAGATTGGTGTACAGTAGTTTGGGCCGTGTGGGCCGGGGGCGTCGAGGCGAGTAAAGGGGATGAAACGCGGGCAGGTAGGCAGAGGACAGGCAAGTAGGCAAAGAGACAGGTATAGGGCAGGTAGGTAGGCATGCATGCATGCAGGCAGGCAGGTAGACAGGGAAGCAGGCAGGCCGGCAGGCAGGCAAGCAGCGATGCAGGCAGCGAGCCAGATGGCGAGGGTAGGAAGCAAGGTGGGCGGTCGAAGGGGTAGTAACGGATAGTAAGGGGAGTCGGGGGTATTCGGAAGGGGATGCCGGAGGTGGCGGCGTACAGGGGGCGGCAGGCTGGTGCGTCAGAGCCTGCAGTGAGCCCGGCAGTGAGGCGAAACGTTGGGCTCCGCGCGGGAGTCTCGTGGCCGCCCGCCTTTTCTTTTAAGTCGGGGTGCCTTTTTCCTTACACCCACCCCCCGCCCCTCTTTTCGTCGCCCTTACGGTTCTACGGGCCCGTCGTCGCTCTCTTTTCAAGGCACGAGGATACACCTCGCCGAAAGATTTCGTCGTCGCGATTCGCTTCGCGCACGGTGATATCTTCGACACACGGTTCGTTCATCTCTTTTTCTTTATTTCTTTCGCCGCTTCTTTCCCTCTTTGGCTTGCTTCCGCTCGTTCCGGTTAACTGTGTACACGGGAGCCGGCTCGTGGTATGCGATTCGCAGGATGATCAGACCGCACGGATACGCACAGAAGGGGAGATATCCCAGGAAAGGGAAACGGGGAGACGGAAACGTAGAGAAGGGGTTAGCGATTCTTGAGACAGGACTGTGCTTGCGGGGATACCGTGGACGCGGGTTCGCTGCGGTGAATCGTAGCAGGAGCACCGGTGCGTGACCTCCGGCTCTGGCCACATGACACCGTGTCCGGGTGCGTGCACAGGATCCTGCCACCTTTTCTCCGCCAGGAAGAGAGGACATCGTAGTGCTGTTCCTTTGCTAATCGCTGATTTACCCTGGTGACTGTTCGTGGTAGCAAACGTTCCCGACATAGCAATTCGCGTTTGGTGTTTGTTCGATGACCGAAACGGACAGAGACAGGGGGTGCAACGTGATTCGGCACCGCGTCACCAATGTCAATGCTAGCGGTTCTCGAAAGACGGTCACGGTGAAATCGCTCGTATATTTACGTCCGTGTGTCGCACTTGGCTCAGCGAACGCGGGTCGAGAGGGAGAGAGATAACAAGGAGGAAAACAAGGAGCGCAAGGAAGCAGTTGGATGGGCGGGGAACAGTGGGATCTCGTTTAGTCGTGTCCGCGGAATCGTCGGGATCGAAGGCCCGGATCGGATCGGATCGTGGGAGGATCGAAACGGTTCGATTTCTCGAAAGGAGAGGTAGCCGCATGTGCTTGTCTTTGCCTGCGACCTCTCTCACGCACCGCCAATGCGGCTGAGATCGCGCGATCTCATTGGCTGCAATCGTGCCGTGGTGTCGGCGATGGGTACGTCCAAGTTCGATGCTCGTGTTTGACCGAGGGGTACGCGTGCGATTTCCTTCCGTTCACGAGTTATCGTTGCCTTTCTCGTTCTCCTTCCCCTCGCTCGGACTTCTTACTTTTTAGCCCTCGCTTCGTTCGTTTCTAAATCTTCGCCGGCCGCTGCTTCTTCTCCTCCCTCGACATTCTCCTGCGAGTTTAACGTCTTCTCTGCTTTTGTCCCAAAGTATTCTCGACGAGTTCCACCGCGAACGATTACAATATTCTTTTATTCGTCCTGTTCGATGTTGCGTGTGATAACGCGTATGAGAGTGATTTCTCTGTAGGAATTATTCCTCCGATAGTGATCGAGTGCTCGGAGCAAAGGGACACGATTCTCTGTGAACGTTTCAAGACAAATTGGACATCGTTATTCGTGAAGTTATCTCGCTCTGCGTCGAACTAACGTTGAGTATCGTCGACCTGTCGACTGTGAAACTCTGTTTCGTTCTTAGAAATCGCAAACCTTCGACGCGGCTGTTCTCTCTCCAGTGCAAGGTTCCCTTTGAGATCAGTGAATTTTTTTGCTACGTGAACTTTTCAACGGATTACGAGCGAGCGAAACTGTCTCGTGTGAGGAAATAACGGGGCAAGGCAAAGCAAGGTGTAATCAAGGTCGTTGATTCCAGGCTTTCTACATGCGAGCGGTTCTTTTCGGGGCACTACCGGCAAGTTTTTCGAGCCACGCGAACCGATGGTTCTCCTCCGACAATTTCCACGCGACCCACGATTCCATGCTTATACACGTGTATATCCCTCTTTCGCAATCGATACACCGCGATGGCTATTTACCAAGCGTTAAACCGCGTCGTGTATCATTTATGTCTACGGCGCAGTCGTTTACTTTTTCGCCCCGACGTCGTTTCCGTATATTTTATCCATCCAAAAAGTACGAGACCGTGAACGAAACGGGCAATCATGAGGCAAAATGAAATTCTTATAGAATCTTTACTATCCACGACCAATAACGTTGGCCAAGGTTCCATACGTGTATACGTATATCATATACTTTTATGGTTGCTTCCTCATTGCTGCACACCTTATTTAGTTACCCTTAAAAAAGCCAGTTCTGTAACCGGCCTCTCTTCTTTATATTGATACGGTGAAGTAAGTAAAGTGAAGTTAATAGCGAGTTTAATCGTGCTTATTTAGAAGCTTTCGACGAGCAAAACCATAAGAGTGCAACCTATAAAACAGCCTTCACTTGGCTTTCCTCTGCTCAACCAAATGGTCTTAATTCATTAATTTGCTCTGTTTGCTGTTAAAAGACCGGGTATTAATTAAATTCATCACTTTTTATTAACTCCAGGCAATCAGAGATTCGATTCGTATCGGTTGTTGCGAGAGATTTCATTGGGACCAATTAAAATTTTATACGAAGTCGTTTTCAACTGACACGTGATAAGGTTTTTCATTTAGCATCTCTCCTACGCGGTCTTTCTACATTTCTCTCTCTCTTTTTTCGCCTGTAGACAACGTTAGAATTCGACCTGTAGCGTCCCTGTCAGCGATGCCAAACCACGTTCCCTCGTAAAGGCAAGAATTACTCGCCGTATAAACTGTTGGTAGATTCAGTTTCCCGAAGAGATTGTTAGCTCAATTCCACTAACTATAAAAACAGAGTTTTACGGTCGTCATTTACGCATGCGGGTTGATTTACTTCGTATCAGTGACTTTGGGGTCCGAGGTCCGCATTAGTCAGTTTCGCTTTCGCGCCGGCCGCGTAAACATCCTCGCGGTCATTGCTTGTGCACACCGTCGTGTGGTGACCGGCCACCCGCTGGTTCTTTTCGGTCTCTGGTTCGACCATAAACGGCTTCTCTCTCCTTTCTTACAACCGCGAGTCCAAGGAACATCCGCGCGTGTTCGCGGATACACGAAGTACAACAGAATAGCGCAGATCGAACGTAGTTCGCGAGATAGGGTGCGTAAAAACGGGACGTCCGGACGTAGAACGTCGATTATTCGATCATCGTTCAAAGGGGAAATTGTGCTAAAAATTGACTGTCGAACATATGTCGTGTTTGAATTACGCATCACTTTGTGTACGAATCCTTCGAACTCGCCCCTACTTGTTGTCTCCTCCGATTCTCCAAGGGCGAACGTTCGTGACACTGTCTATCGGGACGGATCTTTTAATTAGTTCGGATAATCGACGTTCGGTTATCATTATGACGAATTTCGCAGATGGCAGTGGACCGGGCGTGACGGGGAAGGGACGACGTCACAGTTAATCGGCATTAAATTTGCGCGGAAATGTCGATCGGGGTCGAGAGGCGGAGGAAGGTCGAAATCGAGCTCGTGCGTGGCTACGTGCCTTCATCGTGGGGAACAACGACCGTGCGCTGCTGGCTTCAAGCCAACGCGAGCCTAGTTAAAGGGTGAACGTGATAACCAGGTGGAAAAGTGGGGGTGGTGGACCGGTGAGGAAGGAAGGAAGGCATAAAGGAAGGAAGGAAACTCGCGTGGTGACGAAGAAGACGTTCAAATTATACCCTCGTGTTGTTTGTTTTGTTTATTATTTTTTTCCTTTCGTTCACGTTCTTGTGCGTGCGGTGACAAGATGCGCTCGCGACGCCGCGACGGTGGCTGAACGACGGAGAAGCCGAGTGGCTCGTACAACAGCCCCTCGATTCCACCAGCCAACTCTTCTTTTCCATTTCGTCTCGCCCCGGCCACGAAAAAAGTGCACCGCGGAGTGCTCTTCCTCGCTTCCTCGCTTATCTCCTCGGTCGCTCCGATCTGCCACGCGAAACAGGTGAGAACAACCCTCTCTTAGACTCTTCAGTTCTTTTTTTTTTATCTTCAATGTGAAAAGACTAAATAATAAGCTCTCGCGAGTTGGTCATATTTTCTCTTCTACGATAAAACTTTAACATTTATTTATATTATGGATCATGGCGTTAGGCGAATGGGAAATTTAAGTGGGAAGTATGGTTGTCGTATCGGTTATTGTTAGAACTAAAAAAATATTGTTTCACATCCTTTGTTTCATTATCTGAAGTATGATAAGCACGGTGTATTTCTAAGTAAGAAAATACACAGAGGAGAAAGAGAATTCCCGTTGCGCATGAAAACATTCCGTCGTTGGGTACGTCGAAACGTGGAAGACCTCGCGAGGTCTTCGTTTATTTCCTCTCTTCTTTCTTTCGTTCTTCTCTTCGGTGCCGCGCCGTCTCTGCAAAGTTACGCTGTTCCTTTAATAGGTCGCTGGTGAAACGACGTCCGCGTCTCGGCGATCGTTCCTCGAGGAACACCGCGGACTTCGAAAATAGCGTGCAGTCCTGCTACAAACTACGCCAAGGGTAAAGTTTCGCCGCGGGTATCCGAAGCAACGCGAGTCGCGTGTTCCGCCAGAAAAATATATCGTCTTTCGAGTTATCGGAGAGAGGAAAACTCGGCATCTGGCAGGTACGCGGAAGTTCTACGGCGAAAGTTCGCGTGTGCGGGTCGCGATGTAAAATCATTTTACTCTCTCGACCCGGGCTGAACTCGCTCGAACGCGGTACGCCTTATCACTGAATGAAACGTTACAGATCTCGCGGCCCGATGGCGAATTCCGCAATTTGAATTCTTTAGTTGCGATTTTTCTTATTTTATAGGCTTTAATGAAAAGAGTGAGGTTTGAGTTACGATCTTGCTTGATTAAATCTTTCTCGCCATCGAAAGTAGCAGCGGCCGGTACGGCGATGGCTCGTAAACTCGGTGCGTCGCGTTCCCCGCACTGCACTGGCTGAATTACGACTACGAGAAATTACATTAATTCTCGGGAGAAACGAATTGATTTTGCTGGAGAACTCGGTTAGTTTACGTCGCGAGACAATTGCCTGTTCCCGCGTAGCCGTCGCGTTTAATCGCGCCGATTTAACGAGGGTGGATACGAGGTTTAATCGAGCTAGCACTATTCTGAAACGAGCTGATTACCTCGGTCGTACGGAACCTTTAGCGTTTCCTTGGTTAATCTGGTACGTCGTGGGCGTCACACCGTCAGGTCTATGGATATAAAACACTCAATTGTTGACGAGTTAAAGGCCCCTAGCGTTTATGATCATAGAGCGGTTCTGGGATAGAACGTAAACTTGTGTCTTTCTTCGAAAAGTTTGGCAAAAGTAATTTGTGCCACGGTCGCCCGATGTTTTTGTCCCGGTAGACAAATAGGATGGCAAGGACGAAAGAAATAACCAACAGAGTTCCACTTATCTTTAGCCGAAACCGAAGTTATTATTGTACGAATTGCCAGATATTTTTAAAAGCGATCAATAGCTGACATTTCGCAGCGATGCCTGGTGAATCGTCCGAAACACGCTCACGCTTAATTTCATATGCGTCTCTCGCTGAAAGTTGTTTGCTCGACTTGTTTCAAGGTTCTATGTATTAGTAAAATAACGAGTTTACTACTGACGAAACGTGCGAATTATCTAACGTTGTTGTTGTTCGGAGAACAAATGTTTCCTGCCGTCTTCATCGCATGAAAATAATTAGCGTTCATTATGGTATCTGTACCACTTGAGAGTATCTCGTTTACAAAGAGGCGCCTCGTTCAGTGAGGAACTTTTAGAGATGCTCCTTCGAAAAGGCCAATAGCTTCTTTGTATCCGGCAGCTCCGTTTCGTAACGAGCGACCCTAGGTAAATAAGTGTAGCCACCCTTGCCTGTAGTCTCGAACTCGAGCTTGTCAGAGCTTATTGTTCAAGGCTTAAGGTCTTGCGCCTCGTTTTTCGTATCTACTTAGGAGATCATATCACCGTGAACAATTTTCATGAGAAACACTACGTCTTTTTTCATTGACAAAGGTGTTCCAGTTTATACCTTTTTTGTTGTCTCTCGCGTCATTGTTCTATTTTCATGCGTCTTGTACGGATCGCAAACCAATTTGTGTGTCGACTCGAAACTTAGTCACGACAGTCGGCTGTGGAATTTAATTGTCAGCCGTTCTAAAGCTTGACAGGCCTCGGTTGAACGATTTGGTGAAACGGTTAAACGAAGTTCGAAAGTCCCTGGTATTTCGGTGCACCCGCAGCTACATACGTACGCACGTTCATCCAGAGATTGCGATGTGACTCTATAACCGGAAGTGGAACCCAACGCAGTTTCGAACTTCGTCTGTTCTCTCCGAAAGCAAGTTGTTCTAAAGGGGATGGAACCTTTTGTGTTCGCAGGCAAAGACCATCGCGGAGAGGGCGAGAAAAACGTGAGGCGACACGGAGTCACGAAAAACCGTACGACTCTCGAAGGCGGAGAGGTGGAAGAGAGGAGAAAGGAACAAACCGAAGCCGAGAGCCAGCAAGTGGAAGAAGAGAAGAAAAGGAACAGAGGAACGCGGAAGGGAAACGAGGAGGAAAATCATTCGGAATTGAGTGAACGACCGATAGAAAGAGGTTGCGGGGCCGAAAAAGCCTTGTGAAGAAACTAAGGATTAGATGGTGGAGGTGCTCGAGAGGCGGGCTAGGGAGCCTACGGGGCCGATCAAGGCACCTCGCACCTACCCAGGGCCAGGTAGCCCTGTCAATCACGCTCACCGCACCAGGGTGTTGCACTCGCGAGCGGTCGCATGGCTGCGTCTCTCTCCGGTTCTTCTCGACGATGATCTCTTAATTGGGAAGCTGCTCCTTCTTTTGACCGAATCAAACTTGCTGCTGCCGGTCGAGGGTATCGAGGCGGAGGACATTGCGAAGAATCAGTTGTTCGGTTCGGGAAGGTTGGAGAACGCGGTTCTGGTGAACGGGACCACGGACGGAGCCGATCGTAAACGGAATCGGCACGCTCGAGAACGCGGCGGTCGCGAGCGCGTCGAAGCGAGCAGAGTTAATTGCGAAGGGGATCGGTCACGGTTTGAGAAGGAGCGCGTCACGAACACGAAGACGAGTGGTGCGGGAGATAAAAAGTGGTGCCGGGATAAAGTGGTGCTGCAGAAGCGGGGAGTGGTTCCGGCGAGGCTAGAGTTTTGGTTGGAGCCCGGGCAGGGCTCCCTTCGAAAGAGCGAGACTGGCGAGCGCAATGTGGCAAAGCGGCGGCATGGGCGCCCATGCGGCCAACAATCCATGGATGAAATTAATGGGCATTGTCCACAAGGAGAGGAGGCATCACGACACGGGTGCCGCCGCTTCCGGTGTTCAGGGCTCTGGGGCTGCTGGCAGCAACGAACGGGTGCTCAATCAGTGAGTCATACTACTTACGTTTCTTATTATTATTCTATTTTGCATTCCACTAGTCTACCGTATAAATAAGTTCCGGCCATGTTTTCTCAAAGACAGTTTTAATAATACAAAATAAAAATATATACCGACTAATATTTTATAATAATACTATATCTGTTCATCATTTATATTACTTATCGTACTTTTTTTAAAAGACGATAAGTTAACTGCTTAAATAAGAAGATAAGACTAACAGGACACGCAGATTTAATTATGTAATTTTTTACACCGCGGGAACCTATTTATACGTTCAACCGTAGATATTTTAGAGAAACTTTTTAGCGCGTTCAACTCTCGCGCCACAAATCCGTTTACTTTGTGGAATGAATGAAATGGTCTTATGACAAACCGAGGTAGTTTGTATTCAGTAAGAATAGAGCTTAATTCTTGGAGCGGAGAATACCGTTCAAATGCAATGGATTTATTAGTTCAACCACGATTTTCGTCAAAACGATTTTTAAGAATAGCTGCAACCTTTCAAGTGGGTTTTCCGTAAAAGTTAATCGTTCTTAAAAGTACACGTTACGTGACTTCGTTTTACTAAAATTTAACATTAGTCTTGAGTTAACATTGGCCTCAAGAAAAACTTAATTTACATTCCCGTTACGTGGAAAAACTCCGGCAATGTTTTTTTAGTCAGCGGATTATGTAGATGTTAAAACGTTATCTGACAGTTATAAAATTGAATTTAAAAACACGAGAGTTAGTAATATTTGGCTGTTTTTACAGCCATGAAACGAGGGATCAGCCTGTTAGGTGTTCCGTTTAAACGTTATCATAATAGGGACGCGTTTGTCATTTTAATCGCGTTTTTTCCATTCGCTCGCCCGGGCGTTTTCATCAACTCTCACGGGGCGTCCGTGTAACGCGATAAATTACAACGCAATTACAGTATCAGGGTCTCCGACGAGATCACGGTTTTCTACCTGTCAGCCTATATACATACGTCGTCGGCGCGTTTGTCGATACGACCGCGTAACGTTCCATTTATGTAGAGCACAGCTTGAAGCTTGCAAGGCGTCTCTCAACTTTGCTCAGTTGCCTACTGTACACTGCATCATCTCGAGTTTAAGGCTACGTGCTGCCTGAAATGTCGTACAGCGATAAATACGACCGATCATCACGAGATAAACAGAGAAATAATACATTCACAGAATATTTCAATCGTTCAATCAATGCGTAATCAATATGAAATAAGAGATTTAATATTGTGGTAATTTGTTTGTGTCGTATTGGTTAAATTTGTCGTTAAACCACAATTCAATTAGGACGTAACATAAATCGCTGTCTCTCGGCGTTTCAACGCACGTGGAGCGTTTGATATCGATTGCTCGTACGACGGTTGCATGTAATCCGGTGAAAGTGGTTCAGCCACGTAAAATCGAGCCGGTCGAATCTATACATATAATAAAAAAAAAGCACTCGAGGATGAAGCATTGTTTTCGCGTTTACGAGCAGGTTCTCTGCGCTTAGCCACCTTATCGGAAGTGGCTGTGCAACCGAGTCGATTGCACGGAAATATTTCTCGTGGTCGGGGACAGATTAAAGAAGAGGGGGTGCCGGAAGACATTGCCGATATCGGAAGCGACTCCGAACAAAGCTGATAACCGTGTACAATGGCTTTGGCTTTATTTGCCCGAGCGAGAAAACTTCTCCAGGATCTTTTGATGGTCTCGCGTCCATGGAATTCCTGTTCGCTCACACCGTTTCGCCCCCACTCGTCTCCCTCTCGTCCGCGTATCCGTACCATTGGCATTGTCGAATCTGAAAACTCTGCGGAGAAGCATCGGCCTCTTTGTTTCCCTTTCGCCTCATTTTCAACAGCTCCGCGTCGACGAGTTGCCGTGTGTTTTTCTCCGGCACCGTTCTAACAATGCTTCGTCGCTCGCTTGCCTCCACCACTTTCGCAACCGTCGCCGCATATAAATCCGGGGTTGTACAGTACCGTTCATAAATCTCCAGTTAGATAGAAAACTGCAGGTTCCAGACGTTTTCTTCGTGTAACAATAATTCATTAGAGAAGTAACAGTCACTGTGATGTATTTTTTCGGTTCAAGTAATCATTTATATAATTGCTGATTTCAAGTCTTTTCGGACGTCTCGGAATTTATTATTTGTTCAAATGTTAAAACCTGAAATATATTTATGAATAGTAATGTACGCCCTGGCCCTATTCGCGAGTGTTGCCACGATTAAAAAACGTATTTGCTCTTTCACATTTCTCCAGTCTCTCGAAAGGTTTTGGCTGTGACCAGAGCAAACAAGAGGAAGCAAAAGATAGCGTAGGCGGTGGTGGGATGCGGACATCGCTCCTCCCGTCATTGACAATGCTTCTCCCTTTTCCCATTCAGCGAGGCCTACTTGTTCTTTGATACATAAATACTTACGCTTTGAATTTCGAACCTCTTATTCGAAACGCGAGCGAATTCAATCGTCCGAGACGTTTATAGCAGCCGAGGTCGCCTTAAACGTCGTCGTTTAGCCAAAAATTTCGCTCACGTTTCCTCTACGATCCATTTCCTTTTGGACGGAGCACCCCATTATTTGCGTCCGACCTCTCTTCATACGCTCGCTAATATACTAACAAGAAATAATAGGTTCAACCCTCCAATTTTCAGACCTAGAATCGCGACGCAGACAGGTTTATTAATTTCCATCTTTGCCAAGGTAAAGAAATTTATCTGAACAATTATTCGCAACGTGGCAGCCAATTTAAAACGGTTCGGTTTCAGTTTCCGCGATGCAGAAGTCTTAGCTATTTTTGTGCAGCACCTCGTAACGACCCCTGGCGTAAACTCATTAAGAGCCGGGGAACTGTTAAAGAATAACTTATTCTCTTTTTTCGAATTTTCGCTGAACTCGAGCCGCGTTCCGTATGCAAATGTAACTCAGACATCTAATTCCTGATATCACGTTTAATGGTTAAGCAGCTCCTTTCTTTACTGTGCACTTCGCTCCAAAAACCGCTTATTTTGTTCAGTTCTTCTGCTGCCTTTAACTCCGTGACCCAATTGCTACAAAATTAACGTAAATTCTTGCGAAGCTAATACGTATTACGCCACGGCAAATGAAGAGACGCATTTTCTACTCATTGACGTTTAATTAAGAACTGAGGGTTCGTATAATCTCGCTCGGTAAGAAGAGCAGACAATATCGTTTTAAGAAAGAAACGAGCATCATTCCGGAAGTTCCGCGTCGAATTGCCGTCACCCCGGAGTCGTAACCCCGGAGCGCTGCCTTGGTCCTGATCCGTGACTCTTCCCAGTTCCGTATGACTTCCCGTTCCCTCGTATCACGAGTCGTTAGCTGGCTGAGGCGACTGTGGTCAATTCTCTGTCCCTCCCGCTGAATATATTCGTACGAGCACGAAATTGCAGCCCCTGTCGATCGATCGGTCCCTACATGAGAATTCTTAAAACTCGATCCATCCTGACTGACTTCGTTAGAGGATATCTTCCTTGTTGAATAATTTAACTAGCGCTGGTAACAGTAATTGCTGCAAAATCACGTTCGAATCTAAGAATGAATAATGATGACCTAATTCTGGTATTAATCGACGAAGGTGATACGATTATTATCGGATTAGAAACGTAGGAGTTGTTTTTTGCAGCTCCGATTGTTATTTCGGTCCGTTTATTAATTATGAACGCGATGCGATGCGCCTCATCGGAATTCGATATCGACTGGCCAATTTTGTTTACAAAAGTATCTCTATACACGTCCTGCACACGCGTTCGAACGCGCGGGCACTGCGAGGTAAGCAATTCCATTTTATAACGATGCAACGCAAATACTTGCTGCCCTGGGTATATAATTCCACTCGGTCGAATTATATACCGTCCACTTCCTATTTACCGTGTGTCGACATTGGACAGGATCCACCGGAAATAATTATTGTGTCGCGAGCCAATGTACGCGCGTCCGCGTGTAATGCCTGTCTGTGTATGTATACGCAAATCCATTGTGTTGGTGTACAATTCTGAATCCGCGGAGTCCTCGAAATTGCGAAGCGAGATGTATATCGGCCAGGAGAACGCATTAAGCCGCTTTAAATCTTGGGATATCGACGCGAGGCTCGAGGATAAACTGCTTCGAAAGTTGGACTCTTTTCCATAGATAGCTCGCCGGCACAGATGCATTGAAATCAGGGTAAATCGTGTCGCTAGGTTCGGTTATCGTTGAAGAAAATTTCGTGGTCCAATGGTTTGCGCGAACGAGAGTCTGTTTCGATTTTACCGCCTGACGTTCGTGACATACAAACGCCGCGAGGGAACCTTTCGTTTCTATTAATTATGCGCCTCCGCGGTTACTAATTACTCGGTATTGACGCGCGACGATTCAGGCGGCGAATCGTCGTCTTTTAATGATATCGCACTTGCGCTGAAATCGTTCAAGTAGCGTAAGATTCGCGAGATGATTGGGTGAGAGGCGAGCGAGACGAGTAAATTATTGTAGACTTTCATTCAGATTCAAATTTCCGTGAATGCGTTTTGAAAAAAAGAATGGAAGACGCGTTCGAATTACCTCACGACAGTACTTAGTTTCGCATTATGAGAGCGACTCGAGTTCGAATCGAATTTGGATTTTAATCCTGTTATCTCGCAAGACGAAACTTTCCTTCTACAGACCTTTTTTCCGGGGGATCTTCGTCCACCGCAGTTTAATTATGAATCATCTTAGGAAGTTGGGACATTTATCTTAATTAAAGTCGAATTATTCATCTTTATGTATTGTGTGGAGGGAAGATGAAGGAAAATTGCGAATTTTCCTTTTCTCGACAGAGAATTAGATTTCCGATAGGATAAACGGGCAAAGGACCAAAGGAGAACAAATGTCAAGTGTTCCTAGCGAAAATCGTTCATCCGTGTAACAACACAATCCTTTTTACCATGAAATCAAATTTGTACCGTTCAAAAAGACAATGGGCTACCGGTACGCGTGTTATCTTACGCGAATAAAAA